TATAGACCGCATTCATGTGTTTTTCCGTATGGTTGTTCATGAATTGACTAACAACACTAACAAAAAAACTAATGTCGGGCCGTGTGTGTGAGATGAGCGTCCCACGAGTCGCTGATATCTCCCCCTATCCACAGGTGCGTTATTTTTCTCAGTGTCGATCTTCTTGTAGGGATCAATTGGAGTATCAATGGGTTTGCAACCGAGTATACCTATTTCCTTCAAAATGTCAAATGTATATTTTCGTTGAGTCACAAATACTCCTCCTCCTCGTTTTGATCGAGCTAGTTCCATGCCGAGAAAGAACTTTGAGTTTCCGAGCTCTTTGATTTCGAATTCCTGAGTGAGAAGCTTTGTCAGATTTGTGAGTTCTTCTTCATGATTTCCAGTGAGGATGATATCATCAACATATACGATTAGAATTATCATCTTCTTTTCGGGAGACATTTTCACGAAGAGAGTGTGATCTGCCTGACACTGAGTATACTTGTGTTTTTGCAAATCTATCGAACCAAGCTCGGGGAGATTTTTTGAGGCCGTACAATAATTTTTGGAGTTTACAGACTTTGCTGTTTAGAAAGGATGCTTCTAGTACGGGAGGTGCTTCCATGTAAACTTCTTCTTCCAAATCGTCATTTATGAAAGCATTTTTCATGTCAAGTTCATGTAGCTATCAGTCTTCATTTGCCGCAAGTGAGAGAAAAATTCTGATGGTGTTAAGTTTGGCCACGGGGGCAAAGACTTCTTGGTAATGAATACCATAGGACTGTGAAAAATATTTTGCTATGAGACATGCTTTTAATCTCCCTTGTGCTTGACTTTGAAGTTCCATTTGCAGCCGATTGCTTTCTTTCCCTTTGGCAGGTCTGAAACAGTCCATGTACCATTCTTTTGTAGTGCTCTTACCTCCTCATTGATGGCCGCTTTCCATCATGGGTGTTTTAGAGCTTCATCAATGGTGTTTGGGACTTGTGTATTGTTGAATGTAGTGACATAGACTCGATAAGCTGAAAATAGTCCTTCATAGGAGACAGAGTTGGAGATCGGATGCATCGTGTGTTCGTACCTGAGCGGAGGTCAGATGGACCTAACACCTTTCCTTAAAGCAATCGGAATGTCGGAGTTATCAATCATTGGTATTACAGATTCATGTTCAAGTGTGTTCGTACATGAGTGGATTTATGTAGGAGTTGGATCCGGTTCGGACTCTTGGATTGGTGTTGGATGTGTTGGGTGGTTATGTATTTGTTGTGCGTGGGAGGTGGTGCAAGAATGAGTGACGAGTTGGATACTTGAGGACTAGATGGAGACTGATTGTTATGTACATTTTCATGTGAGTTGGATGAACTTGTGTTTTTCATGTGAGTTGGATGAACTTGTTGAATCCGAGTCGGGAGATAATGAGTTTGGTTCAATAGACGAGGATTTGGTGTGTGGTGGTATGAAATCGTTGTCCCCCAAGACTGATATTCCCTTAAAGTCTCCCTTTGAATATTAGAATTGGGGTAGTAAGGCTAATTTTCAAAGAAAGTGACATTTATAGTGTTGTAGGTTTTTCTTGTGATAGGAGAGTAGCACTTATACCCTTTTTGAAGAGATGAGTAGCCGAGGAAATACATTTAGTAGATTTAGGGTCAAGTTTGCTGCGATTGTGTGAATGAATGTGAACAAAGGAGGATCAACCAAATACTTTAGTAGGTAGATTTTGGGCAATTACCTTGGTGTGAGGAAACGATTTGAGAAGGAGTTAGACTAGACTTTGAAATTTAAGGACCCGAAAAAGCATCCTGTTGATGAGGTAGGCTGCAGTGGATACAACGTCACCCCAAAAAACCTTAGGAACGTTAGAGGAAAACATGAGGCAGTGGGCCACCTCTAGAAGGTGGAGGTTCTTGCGTTTGACGATCCTATTTTGTTGAGGAGTGTCGACGCAAGAACTGAGATAGAGGATGCCTTTAGAGGAGAGATAAGAGCCAAGGACGGAAGCGAAGTACTCCTTTGCATTATCAATCTTGAGTGCTTGGATGGAGGCTTGGAATTGTGTTTGGATCATTGAGTAAAATTGTTCAAATATGTCACCGACTGCAGATTTATCTTTCATAAGAAATAACCACGTTAGTCAAGTGTGATCATCAATGAAGGAGACAAACCATCGAGTTCCGATGAGGGTTGTAACACGGGATGAGCCCCAGAAATTGTTGTGAATGAGTGCAAAGGGTTGAGAAGAGGTGTAACTAACACGTGGAAATGATGTGCGAGTGTTTTTGGCAAGTTGACAAAATTCACATTGAAAAAACGAACATCTTTATTGATAAATCAATATGGAAATAGTTTTGTAAAATACATAAAATTTGGATGGCCGAGACAAAAAATGTCATAACATAATCTCAGAATCTTTATTAACACTAAAATCGAAGACAAAATGATGGGTAGACAAATGTCTGCAGTGAGGTCGTGGTGGTGAAGTACCGTCGATGACATAGAGACCTGAGCACATCTCAACATTGCCAATCGTCGTCCCCGAGTCCGCATCCTAAAATTCACATATGGTAGGGAAAAATTTAGCAATACATCTCAGATCACTAGTTAACTTTTCGATGGATATTAAATTATAATTTAAAGTAGGAACATGAAGCACAGATCGGGGTATACTGCTTTGGGTGATGTGCACAGAGCCAAAGCCGGTGACTTTGGAGACAGATCCATCGACAACGAGGATGGTGGAGTTGTCTCCACACGACATATAGTCATGGAGAAGGGAGACATCGCCAGTCATGTGATGAGAAGCGCCATAATCGATGATCCACTGACCGAGGGATCCTTGACTGACTATGAAGCCATGGTAGAATGTACCTTGCTGCACAAGCAGGACGGTGATGGGGTCGAGAACAATCAGATCAGGTGGTTTGCCGATCAATTTGTGCAGCACATCGAGTTGCTCTTTGTTGAATGGACTGGGTGCTGGTGCAAGAAGGTCATCATCAGCGACAACACTCTTGGCTCTGAGAACGCGATCAGACAGAGGCTTCCAATCGGTTGGCTTTCTATGAAGTTCCCAACACTTGTCTTTATTATGGACCAGTTTGCGTCAATGGTCACACCAGGGACGATTCTTGCGTGATGGGTTGTCACTGTGTTGATGCAGAGGAACCCGACCTGCAAGGGCGGAGGCATCAATTGAGAGATTAGGCGAGGTGGAGATAGGCCCAAGCATGACTTTGTGGCAGCTTTCTTTCCGGCGAACCTCGGAGAAGGCCTCGCGAATGCTCAAAGGTCTTGCGAATGCTCGGTAGTGGTTTGAAGACTAATACACGAAAGCGAACGTGATCGAGAGAGTTGTTAAGGCCGAGAAGGAATTTGAATATCGTTTGCTCGATGATCTGACGGTATAAGTTGGAGTCCGGAGTGCATGACCAGGCATGGACTTCATACATGTCAACCTGCATGTCAATACATGTCAACCTGCTGCCAGTAACGTGAGAGGACATTAAAATACTGAGTCACATATTGATCACCTTGGCGAAGATCGTGGATGATTGACTCGATCTCAAAGAGCTTGGACGTGTTATCCGAGTGAGAGTATGTCTCTCGAACAGCATCCCAAATACTCTTGGTCATGCCGATGTCGTTGGTCATGGAATTGATTAACCATGACATGACCATGTGGTTTTTCACATTCCATGTCCAGAATTTTGGGTCATCCTTGGTCGGAGAGACGACACCACCGGTGATATAGTCGTCCTTGCCTCTGCCGCAGATAAAAATCATGACGGATTGGGAACACTAGAGGTAGTTTTGGCCGTTAAGTTTGTGGCCAGTGATGAGGGAAGAAGCGACATCGATTCCGGTTGGAACAGAGGCAGATGAGGCAGAGGATAATTCTTGGGAGGAAGAGGAAGAAGTCGTCATTCCGAAGAAGATTGGTATGGCTCTGATGCCATGAAAAGATATAAAAAAACTTAATTTTATTGATGAAAGACGGGTATAAATACTCATTACAGGACTTACTGGTAAGGAAAGCACTAAAAATAGAATACAGTAGAAGAAGAAATGAATAATAACAAAATATAAGAGGCAACTAATCTTTCAACTAATCTTATCTTTCTAATTAAGGAGAGAAATAAATAAATATTCTCAAGATCCCTCATATAATTTATAACCCTCTAAATATAGAGTTATTAACAAATATGAAATATAATCATTCATAATTTTTAGATCTTTCAACACTCATGTCAAATTTGAAGCAAGAAACAACGCAATCTCCTCACACATGCAAGCCAGTGCAAATACTACTAATAATTTCAACAAGCACTCCATAGAATCTTAATTACTACAAAAATTACATCTGTCACCCCGAAATCAAACCTAAGCCGTCCTCACCAAACCAATCAAGCTCAAACCCACCCACCAATCTCATTTCTACCTTACAACGTCTCCACTTTATTAGCAAAATGTTCATTCGGCACAATGATATCCTAATTTCTCCATTGCACCATTCTCCCTTGCAACAATGCAAAACAAATACACCCCTTAAACTCATTGCTTTCGGTGATCTCTAAACCTCATTCCCGGCATCACCTTAATCAACTCTTTGTCAAGATTGACATATATCCCCCAAGAGGGCTACATATTGAGGAGGTACATTGATGAAATATAATTAAAACATTTTATTGTATTTATATTTATTGTCTTTATCATATCACACTAAGATATAATTCAATTCAAGTGTTAATACATACTAATTTTTGTAAATTCCTTGCATCATTTATTTTTTTTTAGTTTCATTAATTGGTATTTAGTCCATTAATTTCTTAAAGTTTATTTCAATAAATAACTCTGCCGTTAAAACCTTCGAACCCAAAAATCATATCACCTTAGAAAATCCTTCATTTACCATTAATAAACAAACCGATGCCATCATTAGCTAATTATAGCAAGCACAAACTAAAATACATTAGCATTAATTAACCAAATATAAATATCATCTCATATGCTATGTGCGGGCAAATAGTTAATAAGAATATCACATCACATCTAAATCAAATTATGGCAATGCAATCATCCCATCTACCATTATCAACACATAATTACAAAATATATAATATCTTCTTCTCTCTTCCTCTCAATTTTATTTATACTCTTACATCATAATCTCCTTCTATAATTATATTGCTATTAATCAATCGCCCAACCATCATTCAGCCACCGCCACCTCCCCGGCCAGCTCCACCGGAAACAGATCAATCTCACCCGCCCACGGATTCATTCCCTTCATCCCAACCTCCCCACATCCCTCCACCGTCGTCATCGCCTTCCACACCGCGCTATTACACTTAAATCCCGACCCAAACGCAATCTGCCACACCCTATCCCCCTCCTTTATCCTCCCCTTCGCCTCGCAGTACGCCAGCTCATACCACAAAGAACTACTCGACGTATTCCCAAACCGATACAGCGTCATCCTCGCCGGCTCCAAATCCCACTCACTCAACCGCATGCTCTTCTCCAGCTCGTCCAACACCGCCCTCCCCCCTGCGTGTATACAAAAATGCTCCACCGCTTTTCTAAAGTTCGGAACGTAGGAGCCAAAGTTTGTATTTTTGAGCTGCGTGCGAGAGGCGAGGAAGGCGAGGAGGAAGCGAAGCTGTTCGGATAAGGGTAGGATGAGGGGGCCGAGAGATGAGATGTTGGTGCGGAGCGCGGCGGCGGCGACGGACATGAGGTCTCTGGAGAGGGATATGCCGAGTTGGTCTGAAGGGTCTTCTTGGAGGGAGACGCAGGAGTAGGAGCGGGGGGAGGAGCCGGTGTGGGTGCGAATGGAGTGGAGGAGTTGGTATTTGGAGCGGCGGCGATCAGAGCGGCGGTTGGAGAGGAGGATGGCTGAGGCGCCCATGCGGTGTTGGAGACGAGCATGGAGCGGTCGTTGCCGAAGTAGGCGTTGAGGGTCATGTTCTCCGTGCTGACCACCAATGCGTAGCTATCCCTGTGGACCTGCGTCAATAAAATTAAGATATCATGGTTAATAACTAGCAATATTAATTCTTGTTGATTTCAAATAAAACATCAATCCAAACATATTTTATTAGAGGCATAGATACCATCCAATTCTTATGCATTTACATATCCACCATCTAAACTTTACCTTTAATATTTATACCACCCTACTATTACCAATTAATCTTTTAAAATGTGAAATGCACTTTTTCATACATAAATAAGGTGATATGTGTGTGTTATATATATGAAAAGATTTAATTTACTTTAAAAAAAATAAAATAATGATTTTTTAATTATATAATATGAAAGATTTAGATGATAAAAATGTATAAATTAAAATATAAGGTTTAATATATAAATACATAAAAATTGGTTGAATGTATGTAAGTGAACCAACTTGTTCACGTTTTCTATGTAGGAGTGATCGCCCATTAGATTCAACACTGCTCCCATGAGATAAATGTCATAAAGTGCATTTTCTCCATGCCTTTTCAAG